TATATATATATATATATATTCAAGTATTATAATTTGCTCGGGTGTCTCATTTTAACCTCTAAGTTTAATTACATTGTTAAGGAAACCATACCCAAACTACGTACTAACCTTCAAGGCATGGTGTACCTATTTTCAGGCTAGCACACTATAAAATTCTCATTAATATAAAAATAATTTTAAAAAATCCTTTATATTATGATGATTCTGTCTTCTGGAAATGTCGGGGCACTATGATAAGGATTTAACTTTTTTAAAGAAACCCAACTGACTAATTAATTAATAAATATCATACTTAGGGATTAACTTTTTCATGATATTATTCTTTTGTATCTTAACTAATAGTAAGTAGTTAGAAAAATCTTAACAAAATTGTTTCTAATACTCTTTTGTTGACATTTTTATTATTTGAGTTATAAATCATAAATTTTATATTTAAATTTATTTTTAATCCTTAAATTTAAAATTATTATTTTTAATATTTGTATTTAAAAAAAAAAAGTATTTTAGTCTTTTAAGTCATTAATAGTATATTAACTAAGTTCAATGTGATTGTTTTCATTAATAAGGATACTAGTAGATAAATTTGATGAATAGTATTTAATAACTTTTTTAATAAAATTTGAGTATAAAAATTAAAATAATATTTTTTTTTTAAATTACTGGGACTAAAAAGACTTATTTCAAATTTGATGGATCAAAAATAAATTTACCTTAAATTTGAAAGACTAACAATATATTTAAACTTAAATTTTATCACTTAATTAAAGACATAATAGGATTTTTAGTCCATCTTTTAATAAAAAAGAAAAAAGAAAAATGCACATTAAATAATATGCAAAACTCATAAAAAATTTTATATCCAACAAATTTATTTTAGAAAATAATTAAAAGTATTAAAAAAATGTTGCTAATATTTCTTCCCTTTTATAATAATTACAATTTTAATATTTAAAAAATATTTTAAAATGAATATTTTTACTTTGTAATATAATATTAATTATTATTTTCTTAATTTATTTTTTCATAAATTATTCAACTTCCATATTTTAAAGACTACTTTAGTAAAATTGTTTAAAAAAATTGTATATTTATTATTGCCCACATGTGTAAAAACTTTTAATTATTGTGAGACGTAAGGAGTCATAGTTTTAAAATCCGGACCGTTCGTCGAACCGGTTAAGATACTGGGTCAGTGGGTCAAAGGTTGAACTGGCGGGTCACTAGTTGAACCGCATAACTCGATTTTTATTTATTTTTATTAAAAAATATTCATATTAATTAAATATATTTTATACTTATAAATTTTAATAAATTCATATCTTATTTTAAATTCAATTTTTCTATCTTATTTTAAATATTTAAATTAAAATATAATAATTAGCATAAATAAATGTTATAAAAAATTATTTACAGCATAGCTATATTATACGGTACATCTTAAAATCACACGATTGAATTAACGTATGTATTGACATTTCCATCAAATTTTTTTCTCTTACATAATCAGTATAGTGTGTGATAAAATATATTACTTTAGTTGGAAGTTGGAATAATTTGTTCTCTTATATGTTTCAATCCGTATTTTTTATGTATTAATAATTTTTAGATTAAAATATATTATCCCAATTTTATGATATATATTAATTATAATTTTTTTAATAAAAAAACTATACACTTTAACTAGTTAAAAGACAACATTATTAATTAGACAAGATAAGTAATATATAAAACACGTATTTTAATTGATTAAAAAAGAGTATAAAATAATATTAATAAAGAGAGAAAAATTATATAAGAATAACTTTGAAAAAAATTCTAAAAATATGATAAATTTATTGTTATTAATTATATTAATTATTTTTCTTAATTTTAATGAATTAAATATTTAAGTCTTATATATAAAAACATGACAATAATAAAATATATTTTTATTCTTTTATTCTAATCGAAAGTTTGATATAGTTCCAAATTATAATCAAGTTATTCAATTACATATAGTTTATCTTCTTGTGTTAGTCTAAGTTTTATAAAATCAAATTAAAATTAAATTTGAAACATGTAATACACACATATAATATTACTGAAAATAATACTATGTATAAAGAGTTATAAAATGATATAAATAGTGTTAGAGAAGGATTCGAAGCGCAAAGATTGCTCTAAAGTAATCCCTCTCGGTCCTTCTAAGATTACCCCTGCCCCGCTCCCTTGGTTGTTTGAGGATCCGTCTACATGGAGGGTCCACCACTGTTGTTCAAATTGGCCGTGAGGGTGAAGTTCGTTAATGAAGTCGGCCAAGCATTAGGCCTTGATCGTTCCCCTCGGCTTAAAGGTAATATCAAATTGCGAGAGTTCCAGATATGAATTTTCAATCTAACAGTTATATTTACAAAATTCACAATTAATATAAAGTTATTGAGTGATGTAATACTAAGTAAAAATTACACTGGTGTAATTATAACCCTCCTCATATATATATATATATATATATATATATATAAAAGAAAAAAA